CGGGGCGGGGCCGGGCCAGCCGGGCCGGAGCTCCGCCCCCTGCCGGTCAGGTGGCTCCCGGGACTGCCATGTCGCAGGGACGCGGAGGGAGACCTGCCCAGCTGCTCTCCTTGGCCTCCGCCCCCAATTCCATCTCCTTACCCCTATTACCCCCAAGGTGGAAATTTTGGTTCGCTGTACCTAGCAGGCTGCGTGCCATTTCCAGAAAATGATGGTTCAGCTACTTTATCTATAAAAAGCAGACAGGGGTTGATCACATGTTGACTCCCTACTGGTCTGCCTTCCAACCTTTCTGTTGTTTATTAAGCAAACAGCATTAATTAATAAAGAATATATTTATTAATTGAGCATCCACAAAGTGCAAGGCATTACTAGATAAAACAGACAAATTCCCCTGTCTGCAAGGGATTTACAGAATAAATTCTAAATTTCTTAACCTAGCATTAGGTGCTTTCTTCGAGCTAATAAACTATTGCTAGGTCCACCTGCCATTATATCCTCCTGGTAGTTTGGTTACTTACTAAGTTTGTGGAAGAAGGCCCAGCCTTTTCTTGCCTAGAAGTGCCTTTCTTCTGCCAGTCCTGGCTCCTCTGACTGGGGGAGGATCTAGACCCTTAGACTTCCTAAGGGGAGGCAACAACTTTAACAGCAACAGAAATGTATCAGGATTAGATTCAGTTGCAAATAGCAAAAGAAAAAAAGGCTTACGTTAGACATTTATGCAGTTCAGAGCTGCTCAGCCATCCTCAGTATTTGGCTTCCAATCTCAAGGTCACTTTATTATGATCCAGATTCCAAACAGTGAGAAAGAAAAAGGGAAGAAAGATGTGCCCTCTTTCTTTTAAGAAGACTGCCTTGGAAATCCTGCACATTTTTGCTTACATCTCATTGGCCAAAACATAGTCAATAGCTATACTTAGCAGCAAGGGAAACTAGGAAATGTATTCTCTTAAATGGGCACAATGTGCCCAGTTAAAAATAGGTGCTCTGTTACTAATAAGGAATGGTAGAATGAATGCTGGAAGATAACTAGCTATTGTTCTCATGGATAGTACTTAAAACCAGGTCCCCAGAACTTCAACTTTTGAGATAAAACAAGAAGAGGAGCCAAGAAAGAAAACTGAGAAGCAGAGGCCAGTGACATAGGAGAAAAACCAAGCAGGTGCAATGTCACAGATACCAAGATACAATGTTTCCAGGAAGGAGTGGTCAACTGTGACAAATGCTGCTGAGAAATAAAGAAAGGTAAGAACAGCCGGGTGCATTGACTCACGCCTGTAATTCCAACATTTTGAGAGACAGAGGTGAGAGGATTGCCAGAACTCAGGAGTTCGAGACCAGTCTGAGCAACATGGCAAGACTTTGTCTCTACAATAAATTAAAAAATCATGACTGGGTACAGTGGCTCAAGTCTGTAATCCCAGCACTTTGGGAGGCCGAGGCAGGAGGATTGCCTGAGCCCAGGGGTTCGAGACCAGCCTGGGCAACTTGGTGAGACCTCATCTCTACAATAAAATTAAAAAATTAGCCAGGCGTGGTGGCGCACACCTGTAGTTCCAGCTACTTGGAAGACTGAGACAGAAGGATTGCCTGAGTTCAGCAGGTCAATGCTGGTTGTGACCATGAGTGTGCCACTGCACTCCAGCCTGAGCAATGGAGTGAGATTCCAACTCAAAAAAAAGAAAAATGAAAAAAAAAAAAAAAAAAAATCAGCCGGGCATGGTGGCGCACACCTGTGGTTCCAGCTAGTTGGAAGGCTGAGGCAGAAGGACCACCTGAGCCCAGAAGATTGCCACTGCACTCCAGCCTGGGCAACAGAGTGAGACTCTGACTCAAAAATGAAAGAAAGAAAGGTAAGAACAGAGAAGTAACCACTAGATTTGGCAATACCAAAGAGTCCTATAAGGAGAAGAGGTTAGAAAGGAGGTTTGCTGCTGGATGGCTAAAACACAAATTAATGTCCATATGTCTGCTAGAACAGGCTAGATTCCGCTGTGGTAACAAGCCCAAATATGTCAGTGGCTTAACACAACAGTGGGTATATTTTTTCCACTCATGTGAAGCCTGCTGTGACTTAAGGCACTCTCTAAGGTAGCCTTCCTCCCCTCTCCTGGGTAACTCAGAGATCCAGGCCACTTCCATTTCTCAACACAATGATTTAAGGAGAGAGACCTGGAGTATTGTGCACCAGAAATTAAGTTCTTCAGGCTGGAAATGACATACATTACTTTCACTGACAAACCATCAGCCAAAACTTGTCACATAAGCCCAATGTAACTGCAAGGGAGGCTGGGAAGTGTAGGAGGAAACCACAGGCTACTTAGCAAGCAGTAAACAGCTCCCTATTGCCATATTTGACTCTGTTCTCAGTGCCCAAGGACCACATCAATTGCAGACCCCTTAGAGGAGATGTATGCCTATGATAGGAATGAAAGGCGAGAGAGACGGCTGCCTTGTTCAAGTCTGATTGTGTTAAAGGAGATGGGGATCCCTGATTCCAGGCAGACTCAGATGCTCACATTTCATTGCATTTACATGCTTCTCCTTTGCAGCTGACAGAAACAGCTGTCAGAATCCTAGCTTGCAGAGAAGTTCAGTGCCACCAAATGTTTGTTTGTCTTGGCACTGGCTCCTAAACATGCTGTGCATCAGCTCAAAGCTGCCACCCGTGGAAAACCGACCTCTCATAAATGCCACAGGACTTTGCAATGGCCTCATTTCTACTGGTTTTCTTCTCTTCTGAGTCCATCACCCTTGAATAGAGGGACTAAAGCAAGTCCTCCTCTATTTTCTTCTGTGTCTCTCCTCGATAGAAACTGAGTAATGACTCAGAGAGATGACATGCAGGAGAAAAAAGATTCTCACTCATCTATTCACTCATTCAGTAAACATTTATTACACTTAGTTTGTGTTAGGCCCTTTGCCAGGCACTAGGGTCATGGACATGAAAAACATAGTCTAATAGGGGTTACAGACAGGAAGTCAGATCATTGGGATACTGAGTGATGAGGGCATATATGGAAGCTATGTCAGGCCAATGGAGGCACAACAAGCTCTGCTCAGGGTGGTAAGGGATGGTTTTCCCACACAGGAGCCCTTTGATATGGGTCTTGAAGGATGAATAAGAGTTGACAAGCAAGCTGGGTGCGGTGACTCGGGTTTGTAATCCCAACACTTTGTGAGGCCAAGGTGAGAAGATTACCTGAGCTCAGAGGTTTGAGACCAGTGTGGACAATTTGGTGAGCCCTCTTCTCTACAATAAATCAAAAAATAAGCCGGGTATAGTGGTGCACGCCTGTAGTTCCAGCTACTTGTAAGACTGAGGTGGAAAGATCGCCTGAGCCCAGAAGGTCAAGGCTGCGGTGGTCGCGAACGAGTCACTACATTTCAGCCTGTGTGACAGAGTGAGACTCTGACTCAAAAAAAAAAAAAAAAAAAAAAGAGTTGGCAAGTTTGTAAGAAGGGGACAGGGCATTCCAAACTGAGAGAGCCAGGAGGCAAGGCAAAGGAAGTACATGCAGGGGATGAATCTGAGGAGTGTGAGTGTTGGGGTGTGACCAGAATAGACTGTTTGGAGAGATATGAGAAGTGTGAATGGAAAGGTTCTGTGTGGTGGCTCCATTGGATGCAAGGAAGAGAAGCCTTTCAATGAATGAGCCTAGGCCAAATGAGTGATTTTTTGCTTACGTAACCCTTTGAATCCTTTGTACTACAGCAGCTGGGCCCAAGGACCAACTACATCCTGAGAATCAGCTAGCCCCTCACTTCATCATCATCTTTGCTTCTCTGCATGTCAGCAGCTTCTTCTTCTTCTTCTTTTAAATTGTGGTAAAATATGTGTAACATAAAATTTATCATTTTATTTTATTTTATTTTTATTAAAACAGGGTCTTGGCCGGGCTTGGTGGCTCAGCCTGTAATCCCACACTTTGGGAGGCCGAGGTGAGTGGATTGCCTGAGCCCGCGGGTTTGAGACCTGCCTGGGCAACTTGGCAAGATCTTATCTCTACCACAAATCAAAAAATTAGCCGGGCATGGTAGCGCGCGCCTGTAGTTCCAGCTACTCGGAAGGCTGAGGCGGAAGGATCGCCGGAGCCCAGCAGGTCGAGGCTGTGGTGGCTGGGAGCGGCCACTGCATTCCAGCCTGGGCGACAGAGTGAGACTCCAACTGAAAAAAAAAAAAAATACAGGGTCTTAGAGCACAATGTAAATAACTCTTGAATTACATTTGTTACTAGGGTGACCACCTAAACTTACTGTCCAAACAAGGACATTTTTTGAGATTGAAAGGAAATGCTGACTGGGTACAGTAGCTCATACCAGTAATCCCAGAATTTAGGGAGGCTGAGGTGAGAGGATTGTTTGAGCCCAAGGGTTCAAGACTAACCTGGACAACATAGCAAGGTCTCATCTC